AGAGGGAGAGGGATAAGCGAAGGAAAGGGGAGGGGAAGGTGGAAGAGGATGATGCATGGACCAGCGAAGCATACGTCGAAACCATTGTGTAAGACGAGTTACATGTATAGGTTGTCGACGTTGGCGAGCACGAATGTAACAAGTCCATCCCCGGGCCAATGTCGAAGGAGCATGGCGACGGGAAAGCAAATGGCGGACAAGCATAGTTGCCGCAGTTTTGAAATCATGCCAATTGTCACTAATCTGCTCATACCGCGTAAGCTGGCCGGTGAACACACCTGCAGACTGATGAGATGGAGTGTTTTACGTTGCACTAGGATATCGTATAACAACAAAATTTCATTCAACTGTCTTGTGAAACACACTCAATCGAAAAGATCCGTCTGCTCGTGTTTCCAGTTTCGCACCTAAAAAGGTGCACGAGCCATCAGCCGCAGTGGTCTCCTTCCATTCAAGATCATAATAGGTTGGCGATGGTGGCAGACAACCAAAGGTAAGAACATCATCAATGAACCGATAAGTGAAAACTATCGGCGAGCTGCAGGGGGATCCACACGCTACAGGTTGTCCATGTACTGCGCCTCATCCCAATAGAGTGTGAGGTTAGCAATCTCAGGACCAACGTTTGTACCCATTGGAATACCAACGTCTTGATGACGAACAAGGCCATCCGCTGTATATAGATATGTATTAGTAACAATAAACCGAAGATGTTGAATTATGTCAGACACAGAAAGAGTGTCAGATCCCGTATCCGTAGTCCATTCCCCTTCACGCGTCCACAGACCACCATACGAAGAGCAACACAGGATGGGCGTGTCTGTGTATGCTGCTGTGCTTGTGCAAGAGCATAGGCATGTGCCTCATCAACAGCCTTAGCAACATTGTTAAGAATCCGTTGATGAGAAAGATTATTATACATAGTAGTGAAATCGATCGTATGGGGGGCCATACCTCGGAGAGAAGCTTTATTATTTTTGAGGTCAAGCATGACCTCGTCACTGCTCTGGACAATCCAACGTCGTCGAATACCTTCGAATTGGAAGAGTTGATTATCTTTTTCACGGATAGTACGGATGACGCCTTGAAGTGTTGACAACACACACGCATGCTTGTCAAGGGTTTGGCCCGACAGTCTGGTAGGATTGCAGGCATGGTGCGCGTAAGTCGACCACTTTTCTCTCTCAAGGGTATCGCTAACTCTGGGGAACATGGTGAGTCCTTATCTGTCACTCAAATGCATCCTGGGCCAGACTGCCGGGGTTCAACCTCCTTTTCTCTCTCAAGGGTATCGCTACCTCTGGGTGACGTGGTGAGTCCTTATCCGTCACTCAAATGCATCTTGGGCAGACTGTTGGGGTTC